CACATAATTTCTTTTTTATTGTATTTATTTGTGCACGTAAATAACTTAATGGTGTTACAATTGATAAATTTTCTGTTTTATCTGATAAATGTTCAAATAATTGTTTTAATTCATTTTCAATTTCATATTTTAAATTAAGTCTTGATTGTTGACGATTTTTTTTTGTTCTTAAATAAGTTGTTTGTATTGAGAAACATGAACGAAATAATGATTGTTGTTCTATATATTGTTCACCTTCTATAAATATATTACGGAATGTTGGTATTAAACGATTAGCACGACGTTTAATTTTAAATGTATTTAAATTTTGATTTGTTAATGATGAATTAAATATTGGTGATGTTGTCCAATATAGTCCACGTAACTCGAGACTTCACTGATCAAGTTTTGGAAAAAATTATTTTATAGTGGAACTGAAAGAAGCATGTCACTAGATGCAGTTTTTGATTCGATTCTCTACAAGATGGTATGTTTCTGTTGAAGTTTAGACTCAAAACAAGCTTTTTAATAAAATTTTAATTTTTAAGATTCTCGCATAATTCTAAGAAAGCGAAAACATTTTTTCAGCTTTATTTTCATCTTAGTCTATATTAGATGCCTAAAACTAAGCCCGATGTGAAAATGAAATCTTTGGAGCAATGTTTAGTGCTCCAAACTTTATTGGGAAAAACGAATGTCACAGCGTCACCACGATAAAACATACTTATTGAGGGATGGAAATCTCCTTGGAAAGATTCTTTTTTAGCAATCAGTAGCTTGTTTACTCCTCTACAAACTTTGCTGCAGGCGCTTTTTATTAGCTCTTTTATATTCGCAGCAAAGTAGCTTTTAATTAGAGGCACTTCGAATTTAGAGCCTTTTTTGTTACTGCATCACGCGCCAAAAAACGGTGCTAAAAACTCAAATCTTTAACCACACACCTTCATTTTTATACCAGAAGTAGAGTATAGCGAGCTGCGTCGAATAGCACAAGAACGAAGTTTCTACTTCTTACACTTTTTGAGAAAAACTCAAATTACTGTGTCAAAAATGTCACAGCGTCACGCCTGCACAGGCCGTTAAGATCACTGAAAAATATTCGCTCCATCAGGCATCTTTCTTCGAGCACAAATAAGAAAATTTTCTTGCATTTATGCTGTTAGTCGATGAGGTTTGACTTTCGCTTTATTTTATTTTCTCTTTTTGGAAGAGGTTTTGATTGTACAGACGATTCTGGGTTATTGCCAACTATCGTTGCCTCGACTCTATGAAAATACAAACAAATTAAAAGTAATACACAATTCTATTTTCTCTTATCATTTGGTGTCATATTTAAGAGAACAAGTTAATTTAGTATAACAAGATATTTCGACATATGATAGCTAAGTACTAACTATATATTCTACAGGACTTATTTGAACATT